ATTCAAATAACTTTCTGTTACAAATTAGATTCTCATTCAAATGAAGCATTTTTTCACGTACAAAAATAAAGAATAGTAGATTCTCAGTTTAAAAAGCCCTTCATATTAGACTGAGTAAAATCAGCTAATTGATACAAATACATCCACATAATGCAAAGCCTCATACTTTAGGAAAAAAATGAAAGAACTCTTTCTACACTGATATAAATCCATCAATAAACCTTATGAAGTGTGAGAAAACACAAGATATAGGTCAGTGTGCTATAAAATTCATGTAAGGGGAAGGGATATACATAGATATTTGCTTATACAGGCATACATTGCTTAACATCTGTTTTGATGGTCATGCAAAGCCCTAAGTTTTGTTTGTTTTAAAAGCAAAAGCAGGTTCTTTTCAACCACTTGCTATGCATCTGAGAGCTGGACAGTGAATAAGAATGACAATAAAAGAGTTGGTGCCTTTGAATTGTGGTACAAGAGGAGAGTACTGGATATCCCATTGATTGCTAAAAGGAACATCTGTAGCTTGGGAAAGGTGCAGCCAGAGTGCTCCTTGGAGGCAAAGCTTCCTCTCTTATACTTTGGACATGTTGTTAAGAGAGGCTATTCCTTGGAAAATCATTTCATGCTTGGAAAGGAAGAGGGTCAGCGAAAGAGAGGAAGATTACCAATGAAAAAGATTGATAAGGTTACTGCACCAAAGGGTTTAAGTGAAGATGGCACAGGATATACATGATTAAAATCTGTTGTTCACAGGGTCACTACGTGTCATACTTGACATAACCACAAGTAACAATGGTTTTAACCCTTGATTTTTGCAGCAGTAGGCCAACGGGTAAGACACAAGCACATACAAGGCTCTGGGCTCAGGATTGGGCAGGGCCTGACACACTCTGCTCTCTCCCTCTTCTTTGGCTTCCTCTAGCTTCACTGCAGCCATCCCCTCAGACCTAGGCAGTGCTGCATCTTCTCCTTTTCTCTCATCCTGGCCAGCAGCAGAATGAGAACAACCAGAAGCATGCTCCCAAAATATTTTAATATAATCTCTGCACAAAATCCTTATCACACAATTCAGAGAACATATCCTGGATGTTAAGTCATGCATATCTGCATATTGACAGAACATCTCTGAAAAGAGGAAACTGAGGACATTATTTCTGTGTTGTTTTTATAATTAGATTTAAAAAAAAAACAAACTGTACAAACCACCTAAATTACTCAGGGAGCTCTGGTCGCTTAAGGTAAGGTTGTACAGACAATTCAAAGGCTTACATTTTGAATCCATTAGCCGCTCCATGGGAAAAAGATGGGCAATCTCCTCTCGTGATTGACTGCCTCTGAAAACCCCTCTGGAGGGTCAGTCACTAATCAGGCCCAACTCAACAGTACCTACTTCAAAAGTAAAAATAGAAATTAAATAAACAAAAGCCCCAACCAACTACTCCTTTTTCTATTTCACTACCAAGTACACAACTTTCTTCCCCTTTGACTGCATTCTTAGGACATATTTTGTCCCCCAAAGTTCCTTGTGGGTAGAAGTATTTGACTTTTCGGTTCCTTGAAGCTATAAGCCTATTAAAAAAGGTAATAAGGAATTTTAAAAATAGGCAACTTTTTTGAGTACCTGTAAATAGCCTAGGATTTTAATATGTGTTCATTTTTTAAAGCAGTGTACATGTATTAATTTATTTAATCCACAAAATTTTGGAGTGGAAGGTACATTTATTACCACAGAAACAGAGGTACTGAGAAATTAAGGAAGAGGCCCAAGGTCACACAACCAAGGTTAAAATAAAGATTAAAAATAGAACAGTGTGTATTAATTAAGTCCCTACAGAGGTATTTTATAATTATCTTACAACCCTGAGAAGTCAGTAGTAGTATTCTAATTTCACAGAGAAAAACCAAGGCTAAGAAAGGTTAAGAAACTTGTCTTAGGTCACCAACAAATTCCATGAAGGCCAAGCACGTGCTGATACGGCAAGCCTAGTTTGAATCCAGGCCTGTGATTCCCAGTATTTCCACTAACTACATTCTCTGCCACTGTTAAGCGCTAAATAAATATTTATGTTACCACAAACTGTTGTCTCAAGTGATTACTGCAGCAGAGATGAGTTCACACCTGGGTGAGGAAAAAGAACCCCAAATCCTGCAATCTTCTTATTCCCTATTAACAGCATCCTCAAATGCAGCTCCAACTCTATCCAGTAAAAAATCTATTATTGGAAGTGACACTCTCTATATAGGAAGATATGCTTGTAAGATTTTGTGACAGGCTCCCAGACATAAATAAGTTTACATACCAATATAGTACCTGATATCTATCTAATTAATTATGCACTAAATTTTAATGATGCATTTTATTACTCTAATTTCCTCTGCTGTGGAAAAAAAAGGAAAAGAAAAATGAAATGAGGTGGTCTGGAGGAAACATACTGGGTTTGTTATAATTATACTGCATCAAAATAAGCAAAACAGAATGTCTTAATATGAAAGACAAAGTTATTTCTCTAAAAAAGAAACCAATATCTATTGCTCAAGTCTACTTAAGAAAATGAGCTTCAAAATAAAGAAAGGGGCAACATTTCAAAAGATAGGAAAGGGTACTACTGTTTTATGGATCAAGAGTCAAAATGTTTTTATGAACATGCAAAAGGGACAACATGGATATTTTAAATTCCAAAAGAACCATGAACAGGCAATTTCTATGAAGAGAATTTATTTACTTTTCTGAAAGTGCATGTTCATAAAAAAAAAAAAGAAAAGAAAATTCAAACAAATACAATTGCTATTTTACTAATACCTGGGAAGGAGTCAAAGTATATTTCACTACCACAGTCCAAGTCAATATTCAAATACTAACAAACATACTTTTGAGAAGTTTGATTGAGAATTGCTAAGAATCACAAAACATGCATCTATGAACAAAAGAACTTTTGGGCAAGAATTAGAAAATCCATCAGAATACAAGTGGTTTTGGTCTCACAAAGGTAGCCACTGCCATATAAACTCTGCAAAAGAAAAAAAAAATCTAGTGATGTTAGCCTGCAGGAAATCTTTTTTAAAAGAAAATCTTTTCATTGACAGCAATCTATCATCATTAATAATGTGATGATTTCCCAGTGTTAATAATTTCCTGAGCCTCAGAAACTCTTTGGTGAACCTTTTTAACTTTCTCAGCAATAATGAATTGCTTGTATGGTCTTTTAAAGACAAGCAACACAGCAAGATAGGTTTCAGAAAAGTGGCTAGCACAAAGAAAGAGAAAGAGACAATGTTTCTACTATTAAGCAGTGTTTATTCCTAACCACAACGGCTAGTAAATACCGGTAATAATTCTATCACATTGTAACACGTATGCATTTTCCTAACACCTCATCTTTTGTACCACCTAAACCAATCTATGTCTCTATTTTAAAAAATCAGCAAAACCAGCAGTTAGCATGAAAGATTTCAGCTGTCTGAAACGGAAAGGATTTTACACTAAATCTTTAGAAGGTCGACTTGATGCAAGATGTAGACCCAGATGTATTCTGTCCTACAGAATAGAATTCTAACTTCCTGGAAAGGTATTTAGAAAGTAAATAGGTCATATTCCCAAACCCTTTAAGCGGTCTTTTAATCTTTGTTGTCAATGATCCCCCTTACATACTCCATGGTCCCTTTCTTTCCAAATTGGGGGGGGGGGGAAGAAAAGTTTGTGGCTTAAACTGCCAATCTCAGATTGCGGTTACCTAGTGCATGCAGACAAATAATGGATTCTTGTAAAGCCTATTTTTAGAAGCTCTATTACTCCCTCATGATTAGAAAGCAATGTGTGGGAAACATGGTAAGGGTTGGGAGTGTGGACTAGGGGGGCATCCAGGCAGTTGGTAAGACTGGGGGGAGGACTACAAAAAAGTGATGTAAAACAAGAGTGCGCCAGGTAAAATTCAATTTGACGAAGGCTTCAGATGATAGACTTTAAGTGATTGTTACTTTATCGAAAAGGGTTAAAACCGAAACTGTTTTCAACATCAGCTTCCCTTTTACAAGATCCCAACAGTTCGTTAAAGTTACTGCAAAAATGTTTTTCTTTGCACCCCCTCCTCCCTCCCCAAAAGAATGTATTTCCATGACTACCGACTTTTTTTCAAGGGGGGGTGAGGGAAAGGAAAAAAAAAACACAAACCCCCAAAAAAGCATGAGCTCTCATCATCCCAACTAAGCAGAAAAAAAAAAAACAACCAAAAAACCCAAACCCCAGCAAAAACACCCAAGCCCAGGAAACAGCATTTCCCCACTAGGGCAGGAGCGGGGGGCCAGCGGGCAGGAATAAAATACAGGACGAAAGGAAACCTTGGGTTTCGAACTTTATTGCACAAAGAGAGTAGGTCAGACGTTGCAGCGCTTCCCCTCGCGCAGTGGGCACGGCAGCCGCGGCGGCCACCGCGGAGGCAGCAGGCACCTTCACCTCCTCTGCCCTCCACTGTCGCCTTCTTCCTCCTCCCCCCCCC